ATAAGTGCATAGTGTATAAGTGCATAGTGTATAAGTGCATAGTGTATAAGTGCATAGTGTATAAGTGCATAGTGTATAAGTGCATAGTGTATAAGTACATAGTGTAGAAGTGCATAGTGTATAAGTGCATAGTGTATAAGTGCATAGTGTATAGTGCGTCATTTGGGACGCAGCAACTGTTACCCTAAGACTGAATCTTTAGTAAGTTTTGGTCTACTACTTTGTTAGTATAACCATAGTATTACTATAGTAATAACAATACAATATGCATAATTATAAGCAACTAGCTCTATAGTAAGTACATGTTACTCAGTACTTAATTGAATAATTACACTGTTAACAAAGACATCTTTAAAAAAAAAAAAAAAAGCAACCTAATTGCCATATTCCAAGTATGTAAATAAACAAATAAAGAATCCTGAAATACGGAATAAAAGGAACAGATTATTTAGTATAAAACAGCAGATATCGTATTGTATGTGTCCAATACAAATGTCCTTTGGGACAATAAAGTTGATCTTATCTCTTATCTTGTCAGAAGTATCGGAAAAATCATCAAATGAGTCATTCATGAGTCACACACTGACCAATAAACACTTTTGCCATTCAGTTCTTTTCAGCTCGGTGAAATGTTGTGGAATAAATCGTAATGAAACGTGCATAACTTGTTATGCTGCACTTTACGTGTGATATATACTCCTCCATAAAGCGCTGCACGGTGATGATGCGCGTGCAGTATGACGTAAGTGCGCCTATGCATGTATCAAATAAGGAAGTCGGAGATCCGGGTAGTTCCCCTTTGCTTTAAGAGAACTATTAGATAGTTCAGTGAAAAACCAGTTCAAGCTTCGCCATCGCATGTTCAAAAAGTCTAGCCTTTTCATGCGTTTCCGGTCTTTAATGTTGAGTTCGTAGTCAGATTTTCTTACCAGAACTAATTGAAAACTCAAAAAAGGTGAAAAGCAGACAACAGGATGGATGTTGCTCACCTGACGGAGGACGAAATGGCCGATATAAAGAAGGATAGACAGGTTACGACCATACCTGGTAGATAAGATCATCGCAGAGCGGCACTTTGATTACTTGCGCTCGAAGAAGATCCTGACCAGAGAGGACACAGAAGAGATCAGCTGCAGAACCACGAGAGCGAGGCGCACTAGCAAGCTGCTGGATATCCTCGCAGAAAACCCACGGGGTTTAGACATGCTTATTGAGTCCATCAAATGGGGCCGAACGCTCAACTTCATCATCGCAAAGATCACTGATGAGGTGCAGCGCGTGAAAAATGAGCGACTGGAAGCTTTAAAAGGTAACCTATGTTAATTAAAGGGGTTATATTATGAAATCCAAATTTACTTGATTTTTATTTATATATTTTTATTGCTACATCTCCTTTAAGAGTTGAGTAAACAGCCACTTACAAATGGGTAACATTATTGTTAAAAATCAACCATGCAAGAAATGCAAAATGTCTAAATTGAGGAAAAGCTCAAAGGGTTTTGGACCCCATTTACACCCGTATTTTACATCGCCCACTTGAGATTGGATCAACCAAAATGTATTTGTGACCCTGGACCACAAAACCAGTCATAAGGGTCACAATTTACAAAATATCTTCATGGAACATGATCTTTACTTAATATCCTAATGATTTTTGGCATAAAAGAAAAATGTATAAT